ATCGAGCAGTGTAATTTGTGCAGTGTTCGATTTATCGCCAAAAACGGAAGAAATTTGTCGACACTCATAAAAAAAATTGGCTTCTACTTATAGATTAAGGAGATGAGCTGCATTAACTTGAGTAAAAATCAGTTATGATACTACTAAAGAAACTACTTGCCTTAGACTCAGTGAACCTTTCGTAAGTGAACATGAGACCTTGCGATGTTCTAGTGCTTCATCTCTTCATTTGTCAGTTAGTACAAAGAGGGATAGTGTCTATGACAGACTGAAATGATAATTTGGAGGACTTTTTAAAAGGGAGACCTGTAATTTTGCCATGGGAAAAGAAACCGTCTCCCACATAAAGGGTGATTAGTGAATAAGAACAAATAAAAAAATCAACCATAAGATTGAGGTATCCGATTAATTTTTCTCTTCTGGCCTTTGTTACAGGACTAAGGCTGGGAAAACTAATTGCACAAAAATGACCGACAAAAGAAAATGGGATGGAGAAGTAAGAAGAATAAATGAGATTTTAATCTCATATAGATATCGATTGGGTATTATGCTGAATATAATTGGAATATAATAATAAATAATATATCAATATCTAGTAAATATAATGTAATATATATAGGGTCTAAACTGGAAAGAGGTGTGTATGCTGGTAAAGGTAGAACTTTTAAAAAATCTTAGAAGTTGTTTGACATTGTTTTCGCAAATTGGTCATATTGGCAGGAAGGCATTGAGGAACGCACCTTGTCCGGAGTCCATAATATGCACGATAATTTCTAGAGTCGGAACGTGGACTTGGAACATGGCAATGCTCACTTATGATGCCGACTACGATGCCGGCGAAACGTCTGGGAATGTACCAAGTCCACGGTCCGACTCTAGAAATAATCATGCATACTATGGACTCAGGACAAGGTGCGTTCCTCAATGTCTTCTTGCCAACATGATCAAGTTGCGAAAACAAGGTCAAACAACTTTTATACAACGAAACGAGACCGCGACCATATAAAAGGCCACACCATCTTGGTCTTCAAACCTTCAATTTTTAGAATCTTGTTCGGCCCTCTGCTATCTCTAAAAACGTGGTGAAGTAATGCAACATTCGAAATTAAGACAGTGTTTAGAGACTTAAACACTTTCCATAATTATGCTTTTTATTAGACCGTAAACTGGACTATTTTCTAGGTCCGAATGATCAAGGATCTTGCGTCTCTGTGGGTTTACATATGAGGAAGTCATCAAAAAACGTAAGGGTGAGAGTTATATCAAAATTGAGTGATCGACAAATTGACTAATTAGTATGATAACTGAGGAAGAAATAACATGTGGTTGATGAATATATGGCTCACACAGTCTGGTCCACAGCTTTGAATAAAAATAAGGCAAATAGATGAGTTGTTTTTACCATATTTCGCTCAAAGTGATGAAGGACTGGAAGTTGAATTTTTCCACAATTATATGAATAGAGCTGGTGTTTTCCATTGAATTTTACGTAAACTTACTCTTTCAAAAGGCTATGTGAAATTCGGTGGAAAACGTCAATTCTACTCATATCATTGAGGGAAAAATCGAATACCATTTCTTAATCACCTTGAACGAAATAGGTTGAGCACAACTCATACATCTACTCACTCCAAAAAAAAGAGTCGATAAAGAACATTGACATATAATCTACTTGCATATACCCAAACAAATCCCATGCTGACAGTCATAATGTAGCTGGTCTTACCAAATACAATTGCTGATGTCCTAAGCCCTGTATACTCGCAAAGTGGTTATATTTCACCTACTTTAGAGCTACGTGCCGAGTTATGATATAAATTTAAATGTGTTCCACCTTAAAACAGTATATTACTGACTTAGTGCAGGTCTATACACATGGAAGTAGAGACACGGCTGGGCGCTCTCATTGAATTACATTATTTATAAATCGCAAAATATGGACAGTACTTTCGACTTCACCTCACCCTCGTATCGGTATTCCTGGCGAGGTGAGAAAAGTGGATGTGTGAGTTAAGAGAAAAATAAATTAACCCCCAGCCTGCACGGCCCTAATCGCATTGAGCTTCATGCAAGGATTCATTTCCTGACTTGATTTGTCTTGAAGATGAGGCTTTTTGAGTAAGATAGTTTGGCCATGCCTGTGTGTATTAGAGGGTAGCGCAGTGACATTTTGTGTGAGACGC